CACTTTGGAAACACTGAAAACTTACAGTCTCCCCAGACTGAGATGTGAAAGCAACAGGAGAGAAAAAAGACAAAAACTCTAACCAGATGTTCCTTCCTTCTCCCTGAGAAGACAGCAGAACCCAGACAGTCCAAAGTCAAGAAGTAGGCTAGAAAAATGAGCAAACAAAAAAAAAGAACCTGACCATAAAGAGCTACTCTGGTGACAATTGAAAGCTCAAGATGCAGAAGACATCTATAAGCACAGATCAGACACAAACCCAACAAAAATTCCTTGAACAATTAAGGAGGTTTTTTTTTTCTGTTCTTTTTTTTTTAAGTGATTTTAAAAACCAAATAAGAGTGGTAGTGGAAAAAATGGGGAAAGAAATGAAAGCTATGTAAGAAAATTATGAAAAGAGAATTAATAGATTGGTAAAAGAGATACAAAACATTACTGAAGAAAATAATTTCTTAAAAATTAGAATTGGCCAGATGGAAGCTAATGATTCCATCAAATATCAAAAAATAATAACACAAGGTCAAAAGACTGAAAAAAATAGAAGAAAATATGAAATATTTCATAGAAAAAAACCAATTGACCTGGAAAATAGATTGAGAGATAATTTAAGATCATTGGATAACCTGAAAGCCATGAATGAAAAAACAAAAAAAAAAGGTCTAGGCATCATATTTCAAGAAATTATAAAGGGAAATTTCCCAGATATCTTAGAGCCAGAGGGTTCCACTGGTCAGCTCTTGAATGAAAGCCCAAAATGAAAACCCTCGGGAATATTATAGCCAAAATCCAGAACTCCCGGGTCAAGGAGAACATGCTGTAAGCAGCGTGAAAGAATGAAGTCATTTACCATGTAGCGCTTTCAGGATCATACAGGTTTTAGCATCTATCCCTGAAAAGGAATATAGGACTCCACTATCCTAATAAATTTCAGCGTAAGAATATCGAATAAAATTTTCCATATTGGATACAGTAACATATTTTATAAGGTTTTATACTATCACATGGTGGTTGGACTTCTACCAAGAATATAAATTTGGGTCCAATGTTAGAAAAAGTGTAATAGACCATAATAGTAGCAAAAAAAAAAAAAATTAAATGATGTGATTATATCAATAGATGAAAAAAAGCTTTTGAGAAAACACGATAACCATTTCTGTTTAAAACAAACAGTAAAAAACATAGGAATAAATAGACCTTTCCTTAATATGGTAGACATTATTTATCTAAATCCAGGAACTACTATCATCTGTAATGGAGAAACGTTAGAGGTCTTTGCAATAAAATAAGATCAGGAAGCAAAGATGTCTATTGCCAGTGTAATTTTTAATATAGTTACTGAAATACTAACCATAGCAACAAGACAGGAAGAAGAAATTGAGGGAATAAACATAGGTTAAAAAAAAAGCAGTATTCTCATTTTTTGTAGATGATATGCTAGTCTACTTAAAAAATCTTTAAAATTTAACAAAAAAAATAATTGAAACAGTAACTTCAGCAAAGCAGGATATAAAATAAACCCACGCAAATAATCAGTCTTTCTATATTTTGCCAATGCAATTCAGCAGAGAAAGAAGATGAGATACCATTTAAATACCTATCACATGTTAAAAAATTGGATTTTACCTGCTCAGAACACACAGGAATTATATGAATGCAACTGCAAAATAATCTCTACACAAATAAAGATCTACCTAAATAATTGGAGAAATACTAATTTCTTATGGCTGGGCTAGGCCAGTAAAATAAAAATTATATTATGATATAAGTTAATTTGCTTATTCATTACCATACCAAACTACCTAAAGATTGTAAGAATCATAGATTTATACAATTATAGAATTAAGGGGGAAAATAGCAAAATTTTTCTTGAGGAACAAAAGGTCAGGGGTCTCAAAAGATTTTTTTTTAAGTGGTAAGGAAGGGGCCCTTACAGTACCACATTGCAAGCTATTGTACAAGGCAGTAATCATAAAACAAAAAACAGAAAAGTTTATCTGTAGTATAATTTACGTACATAACTTACAGAAGCAAATGAACATAGCATTGTGTTTGATAAACTCAAAGACCTTCATTACAGAGGTGATGTCTTTAAAAATTGTTGGTAAAATTGTAGAGTAGTCTGACTGGGATTGAGTTCAGATAAAGAACTCATACTGTATAATACAATAAAAATAAAATCTCTAAATGAATACAGTATACTTAGATATAAAAGGTTACATCAGAAACAAGTTAGAGGCACAGGTAAGGAGTTACCTTCTTGAACTGTGGTATAGTGGATAGAGTGATGAACATGTAATCAGGAATACCTGAGTTCAAACCAGGCCTCAAAAACTCACTTATAAATTTAATCCCAGGCAAGTCACTTAATCTTTCTCAGCATTAATTTCTTCTATAAAATGAGGATAATAATACCATCCACCCCACAGGATTATTGTAAAGATCAAATGGGATAACATATATGAAATGTTATGCAAACCTTAAAGTGCTACATAAATGCTACTTGTTGTTAAGATTATCATTATTAAGGGATAGAAGAGTTCTTGACCAAACAAGGGTTAAAGATAAAATGAGCAGGAAATAAAATGTACAATTTTGATTATGTATCTATCTGATATGCTAGGAACATTGAGATTAATTCACAAAACATTTGTTACAATATACTGTGTGCAAAGCATTATTCCCAGGTAGCAATATAAGATAAAATAATCTTGCTCTTTAGTTTACACTTGACTCTAGTGAAGACGGCTCACAGTAGTCGACCCCTCAGGCACTTAGCATTTGAGAGATTTTCATATGTATATATTTTGGAAAGGAAATATACATATACTTAATTACACACAAGCATACCAGATTACACAATAAGATATCTTTCAGTCAATAAATGAACACATTAAGTATCTGCTATAATGCATGCCCTTTGACCAAGGAATACCACTACTTGACCTGTACCCAAGAGAGATCAAAGGAAAAGGAATAGGCCCTTTTAGGTTCAAAAATATGTATAACAGCTCTTTTTGTGGTAGCAAAAAAATTAGAAACTAAGAGGATGTGAAACATTTGAGGAAAGGCTAAATGAGTTGTGGTATGTGAATGTGATAGTACTTTTGAGCTGTAAGCAATGAAGAAATAGATGACTTAAAAAAGAAATGACTTAATGAATTGACACAAAGTGAATTGAGCAGAACCAATATAACAATTTATAGTATAACATAATTATTATAAAAATGAATCATTTTAAAGGCTTTTATGTACTTACTGGTGAAGAATGAGATGAGTAGAACTAGAACAATTTGTAAAATAACAACACTGCATAAAACAAACAACCCTGAAAGCCGTAAAAGCTTGGATCAATACAGTGACTATTGATGATTACAGTGGACTGATGTTGAAGCGTGCTGTCCATTATAGAGAAGTGATAAATTTAACATCTGGAGTGAGATATATTTTTGTATACTATTGTCAAAGAAATTTGTTTTGTTTGACTGTGCACATTTATTATAGGAAATTTATTTTTCCTTTTTTCCCAGTGGAGTAGAGAATTGGAGGAAGAAAAAATAGATAGAATAACTTTTTAAAAATTAGAGAAATATGGAAGGAGTGTAGTGTAGTATGAGGTTAATATACTTTTAAATGATATCACAATAGTATTTGTTTTACTTAACTGTTTTACTTTGTTACAAGAGCCCTCACACAGTAAGAGTAATCTATAAATGTAAATAATGTAAAAACAAAACACATTAAAATTTATAAAAATACACTTTAAGAAAAAGAATTTTTTAAAAGTGTCTACTATGTACCAGCACCTTGCTAGACACTGGAAATACAAGTTCAGACTGAAATCATTCCTGCTCACCCCAAGCTTGCATTCTAAGAGAAATATACAAAGAAATAACTAATTCAGGCTATTTGATAAAAAGACTAATCTGATAGTGAAAATGTTGAATTATAACTTTTAAAAATATATTTTGACATATTCAGTACATATAGCAATAGGAATTTGGTCAGCAACGTGCTGATTAGTGGTCCAATCAAACCTGATCTAATGAACTGACAAAGATGACTTGTAATTAGTATATCAAATGTTTATATTTCTCCTAACATACTTGACATTTAAAAACAACTCATGCTCATTTAGTTAGTAGTGTCTCAGAACAAAGGATTTGCCAAGAAAAAATGATCCCTTCCTGTTGCACTTTCTTTATTAATGGAGTCTGTGTTTATGAGGTTTTATTATTTAAAACCTTAATGAAAAAATACCTGAGGAGGGAAATAAAAGGTTCCAAATGTAAAAATTTGAAGTAATCCTGTAGTATATTAAGAGGAATTTCCATAAACTGTTTTTACTATTCCTCCACTTAATAATGTATCTAATTATAACAATAATTATTTACTAAGAGAAAGTTACATAATAGAATTATTACTAGGTAAAAAAATCAGAATTCCTTATTCTCAATCTGAGGTGTAAAGTTGAGCCCATTATTTAGCACTAGAAGAACCAGGTATGTCATTTGACACAAAAATTTACTAAAATTTACTTAGTCCTTCAAGATATTTTTAAATTCCAGTCCTTTGATTAAACAGTGTAGAGAAATCTAGATTGGTTTTTTCCCAAGAGGGATTAAGATTTCTCTAGAAAGATGGAGAAATTCCCTACCAAAATTTGAATCCTGATCCTAAAGATATATTATTTAAATAAAATTAAAAGGGGGAGGTCCAAATCCTCATGTGTAAAATAGGGATAATAATACACTTATCTTACAGGGTGGTCATGAGTATCAAGTAAGATAATGTGTGAAAAGTACTTTGTAGCCTTAAAAGTCTAAATAAATGTGAGCTAGATATTATAATAAGATAGTATGTTAATGACTCGGAATTGAAATAGAAAGATAGGACAGAAGCATATGGTATATTTGTTCATGGATTACATGGCATACTTTCCTTAGCATTTGTAAGGACTAAAATAATCTTCATTCTGTTAAGAAATACTGTTTTTATTTTAGGTGCTACTCTAAGTATGAGGCCTGCTCCCATTCCAGTAGAAGACCCAGAGTGGAGACAGACACCTCCCCCAGTCACTGCAACGTCTGGTACCTTCAGACTACGGCGAGGTAGCCGATTTACTTGGAGAAAAGAGTGCCTGGCTGTCATGGAAAGGTACATTTGTCCTCTTCTTAACAGTTGTATGGGTGAAATATTTCCTAAACGTAGAAGAGTGATTAACAAAAACAAAACAAAAAAAAGCCTTGGCTGGAATCCCACAAGTGCTTTTATTTTTTTCTTAAGATTATCTACTGGTTTCTATATAAGTCCCATTTAAGAAATATTTTAGTGTTGTAGGCATTGTCATATTAGAATCTGAATCTTTTATGGCCCTTACATTAAATATTTTCACAAATGAGTAATTGTTTTTGCATCCTTGGGATTTAGGTGACATTTTATTTACTTAATTTTCATTTTATTTTTATGAACTTCTCTTAGTTCTTATCCTGGGTTGTTTTCATCCAGTTTATGTCAGGCTTTAAACTGGATTCTAGAGTATTATTTACTGATATTATCTTCATTTTTATATTCCCTAGCTCTGATTGATAATATATTAATAACTAACTCTCAGTGAGATCATTTGTAAAGCACATTGAGATTCTTTGGAATGAAGATTCTCTTTTGGAAAGATCATTTCCTCTCCTTAGAAAAGTCTCATTTTTTTTTTTTTACCAGTTCATCTCTCTTTCTTCTTTCACTTCCAACTCTGCCTCTTCCAGAAAGGCTTCCCTTATTAATCCTACCAAATGAGTCTTTTACTCAATGTCCCTGCTTCTGTATTCAGATCATTTTATAAAATTTTTACTGATTTATTGTTTTGTAAATGTTCATTTGTCACTTTGTAACCTTATTTTCTTTCTAGGTAGCTTGTAAATTCATTGGCCAAGAGCCATGTCTTTTATATTCTCTACATTCAAATCAGTTAATTAATAAGTATTTATTGTGTTTCCTATATGGTGGGCAGTGAAGATACAAAGACAAAAAATAAATAGTTCCCCTCTTTCAAGAGAGAATTGTCTAGTACTGTTCTTCCTTATTGAATACTCCACATATAACAACCTTGGCAAATATTCACTGAATCATCAAAAAATCAGCTTTTCAAGTTTAGGATCCCTGGCTAGTAGAATCAGTAATTTTTAAAGAATTAATCTTGACAAACTTTCTTTTCAAAAGAAAATAAATAAGGGTAAGCTTTTCTTTTGAAAATACTGGGAGACCTTCTTAGCAGATTAAATGGAATTTATGTAGTATAAGTAAATAAAAAAGTATCAAGTAGAATTGTATATATTAAGAATATTTCAGTGAAAATATGTGTGGCTTGAATGTGGAGATATAGATAGGAATGTAATTATGTGTACTTTGGGGTTGGAGTTGGTATTGTGTTTTCACTAATTGCAATGTGTGTAAAATACAGGACTTCAGAATGGCAGGTTTGCATCCAAATTTCAGATTTTTAAGTTGATAATAGAAAGTGTTACTGAGATGCAGAGATATTAAATGTGTGAGCCACCAGCTCTTTTGCCATAGTCACAGAATATAGAGTTGGGACTTGAATGGTCTTCAAGTCCAACCTATACCAGAAGGAACAGCCAGCAGTTGCTCATCCAGCATCCAGGGAGTAAGAACCTACTGTCTCCTGAGGCAGCCCATTCCACTTTTAGACAACTTTAAGTTTTAGAGATTATTGCATCTTGGTAATTTGCGTTCATTGCTTCTGGTTTTACCCTCTTGGACTAAAATTTGATTTCTCTTTAATATGACAACCCTTCAGAAACATCTAGGTGATAAGGTAAGGGGATGAGATACTTCACTAAAGTGGTATCTTCTGAGTGGAGTGAAGGAGATGCATACAAGAATCATATAATCACTCAGTCTCAGTGTTGGAAGGGACTAATTGGCCATCTACTCTAAACCATGCTACTTGTCATCTAGGTTCTACCTGAAGACCTCCAGTAAGGAAGAACTATATATTTCCACTTTTGGATAGCTGTAGTTGTTAAAAAGTTTTTACTGACATGAAGACTGAGTTTACCTTTCTGCAACTCCCACTCATTTCTCCTGGCTCTGCCCTCTGGGGAAAAGAAAATAAGACTTAATTCTTCTTCCATTCCAGCCTTTCAAATACTTGAAGACATCTGCTACATCTATCTCTAGGTGTTCTCTTTTCCAGACAAAATGTCCTAATTCTCTGAAATAATCTTTATATGGCATGGATTCCTGCCCTTTCATGATCCTAGTTTTTCTTTTCCAGATAATCTCTTAGTGTTAATGTCACTCTTAAACTATAATGCTTCAATTTGAACACAGTACTCTACACATAATCTAGTCAAAACAGAGTACAAAAAGAGGATTGGGCATGAAACTGCAGATTTCTGTTAAAAACAACTTGCTTTTCTTTTTAATCCGTAAAAGTCAACTTGTAGCTTTCAAAGCTGTCCTCCTAGTCAGTGTTTCTTTATTTCTACCTTTCCTTCTTTTCTCATGTTTACATTTTATAAATCACACTCTTCCCTCCCCTTTTTTTTTGCTATCCCCATGCCTATTCCCTTTGATGTCACACTATCCCCTCGCTGCTGGCCTTGGAAGAAAGGAAAACAAAGCATATTTAATAAGCATGTGTAGTAAAACAAAACAAATTCCCGTATTGGTATGTCAAAAAAGGTATCTTATTTTGCATCTTGAGTCTATTACATTTCTACCAGCAGGTAGGTAGCGTGTTTCATCATCAGTTCTCTGGAATTGTAGTTGATCATTACATTCAGAGTTTTCAAGTCTTTAAAAGTTGTTTTTCTTGCCTAGAAAATAATAATAAAAAAAAATTAAAAGGGGGTAGCTAGGTGGCGCAGTGGATAGAGCACCGGCCCTGAAGTCAGGAGGACCTGAGTTCTAATCTGGCCTCAGACCAAACACTTGACACTTACTAGCTGTGTGACCCTAGCAAGTCACTTAACCCCAATTGCCTAAAAAATAATTAAAAAAAAATTTTTTTTTAAACATTGTTATTGTGTCAGTTGTTCTGGTTCTACTTAACTCACTCTGTATTCATATAGATCTTTCCAGGTTTCTCTGAATACATCCATTTCTTAAGCTGTTTATATCCAGTAAAATTCCATTACATTTACATACCATAATCTGGTTAGCCATTCCCCAGTAGATGGAAACCTCTTTAGTTTCCACTTCTTTACTACTAAAAGAACAAAGAGCTGTTATAAACAGCTTTTATAAACATATGGGACCTTTTTCTATTTCTTTGATTTCTTTGGGGTATAGGCCTAGTAGTGGTATAGCTGGGTCAAAAGGCGTGCACAATTTAGTGACTTTGGAGTTCTTGGTTTATTTACCAATTCAGTGATTTTTTTTCTTTCATTTTTGTTAATCTCTTTTTTGATTTTCAGAATTTCTACTGTAGTATTTAGTTGGTGTGTTTTGATTTGTCATTTTTCTAGTTTCTTTTGATTACGTGCCCAATTTGTTGATTTTTCTTTCTCATTTCTTGATGACTACATTTTTAGAGTCAGACTGTTTAGAGTTTAGACTGTTAGATTAACCCCTAAGGACTACTTTAGCTGCATTTCATGTGTTTTGTTATGTTGTAATTTTCTTTGGTGAAATATTCTGTTTTTTCTATAATTTGGTCTTTGACCCACCACTTCTTTAGGATTAAGTTATTTAGTCGCTATTTTTTAATTCTTTCCTTAAAGGCCTTTTATTGAATATAAGTTTGTTCAGTATATATTATAATCAGTAAATGATATGTTTAGTATTTCTACTTTTCTCCATTTATTTGTGAGATCATGACTGCTCCCTCTCCTGCATTCCCTCTTAAATCCCTTTTTACCTATTCTCACCTATTTCCCAGTTGAGTTTAATGTATTTTTACACCACTCTCTGTGTGTTTGTATCTGCTTATGTGTGTTTGTGTAAGTTTATCATCCTTCCTTTGTCCAGTTTAGGTGAAAGTGAAGTTCACAATATGCCCATTCTCCCATTCCTTCCTCAATATTTGTTATATACTCTTCATCTCATATACTCCTACTAAATGAGATAGTGATTTATCCTACTCCTTTCTTTTGCCTTAGAGTCCCTTGTCCCTCTTATTTCCTTCTTCTAAGACCATCAAACAGACCAAAACCAGTCCCAGGCTCTTTGCTTGTTGTATTTAACATTTTTCTGTCACCTTTGAAGATACTATGGGTGAGGACACTTGTTTTTTCTCCTACTAGTCAACAGTTAATATATGCCAGACACTGCACTAAGTCCTCTAGATAAAAAAAAGGTAAAAGACAGTCCCTGCCCTTGTGGAGCTCACAGTAATGGGACATTATTATTAGCATGTAAACAATTCATCCCCTTATAAACAGTTCATCCCCTTATAGTGCTTTCCAGTCAATCAAATGTCTATACCTTTCTGAAATTTTCTTGACTCCTCCATTTCAAAGCATAGTATTCAGTTCTGGCTATTCTTCAGGAATGCCAGGAAATCATCTGTGTCATTAAAGGTCAGTTTTTTGTCCTTGTGGGATCATACTCATTTTTGCTACATAAATTCTTCTTGGTTGTTAGCCTTTATCTTTTGCCTTTCAGAATATCTTATTCTAAGTTATCCTTTTCAGCTGCCAAGTCTTGTGTGATTGTGACTGCTGCTCCTTGCATGAATGTTTTCTTTTGACTGCATACAGTATTTTTTTTTTGACCTGGCATCTCTGGACTTTTGCTCTGATTTTCCTGTTAGTTTTCATTTAGTAGTTTTTTTTAGGAGGTGACTGGTGGGTTGTTCCTATTTTCATTTTTGATGTCTGGTCCTAAAAGATCTTGACAATTTTCATTTATGATTTTTTGTAATATGGCAGATAAACTTTTTTTTGGTCATCATTTTTAGTTAGTCTGAAGATTCTTATATTATCTTTCCTTGATTTGTTTTCTAGGTTAGTTTTTAAAAATATGTACCTTATATTTTCTTTTGTTATTTAAACATTTTCATTTTATTTCAATATGTCTTCTTATGTCATAGAATCATTTTTTGGTCCTATTTTAATTTTCAGAGAGTTAAAGTCTTAGGTAAGATTTGCTACCATGTGTTCTTAGGTATTATTTCTCCTTGCCATTTTTTCCTT